GATAATTATGTGTCTAACATTATATTATTTACATAGACAATTTAACAATTATTTTTAAATATCTGATTAAATAATGTTAATAAAATAAGGACTTATTTTTTTTTTCCTTATCAATACATTTATTTTATTTCTCAAAAACATTCTTTTTTGGTGTCTGGTTATATTTTCCAAAACATCACTCATAGACAAATTACACGAACAATATTTTACTTTTGTTGCTTTTTGGCAATTGGTACAGTTATGGTGATTAGCTACTTACAGCAAAAATCAAGCAAAAATTCAGACATTTGACCTTAAAGGTCAATGTCATAATAAATGAAGGTCAAGGTAAGTCTGAGTTACTTGAAGGTCTTGTCCAAAGGGTTGTTGTGGACAAGTATGAAGACAATACACCAAAAAATCAAAAAAAGGTTAATGATCAATGATAAAGTTTTCAAATGGCAATGTGCAAGGCAATGTGCAAGGCAACAGCAACGAGCGAGGCAATGCGTGTAACAATAACTCTTTTTTTTCTTCGAAATAAGTCAAGCTAACAAAATCATCATGTAAAGTAAGATTCAATAGGGCAATATTGGCCTAGAAGATAATTTGTTTTAGCAATCCAAAATGATCTTTCAACAAGCATGCGACCAAGGCACATTTCCCTTATAATTTTCTTTTGTTTAATAGAGGACCCATGGGCCTCTCCTCTTTTGCTACAGAATGAACTGTATAGTTCTCTTTTGTTCTGTTTACAATGAGATGTCCCACTATATCTTTCCAGTGGTGCAGATGGACTGATATGTGGACTACCAAATTTATGTAACAAATTTATTTCGGGCTCATAAAACCAGGAGATGCCTTCCTCATGTTATGTAACAAAAACAAGACCTGTAAATAGTCATATAAAGATTCAGCAAACATAAACTGCATAATAAATATACAAAAAGTGAATTACCTATAACTGACATCAATGCTAATGATTAAAGAAGACAACGAATATGTCGACAGAAAATATGTAAGGTACATTAATAACACAACTTGTCATAACATTGCATTGCAGGAATAACTGTTGCTTTTGTTTGACATAACAGTATGAAATCATGAGTCAAATATTATGCATTCCAATGATCGAAGCAGTAACTATAAAGAACCTCTCTCAAACCTTAAGTTTATATTGTGAAATTCTATATAGAGCTAACATAAAAGTGATAAAACATATTAAGGGCTATTTAATTGACTTTGTTTCCATTGCCAGAAATGTCATGTATTCTGAGAAATTGTTCAAGGTAATTTTACCTTTACATTAGTTTATTAATTTTTGTTGTCATTTGTCACAAGGGCCATTATAACTTTAAGTACACTAAATACCATGCATTGGTTACAGCTGACTGAAATTTTCAAAATGATTTCAAACCACTTGCCCCTCACTATTGTTTGTTATAATACCGCCAGGGACTTCTGATTCTTCATGTGAGAGAGCTATCCAGCTAGCTTACAGAACTTACTTAACTTTGGTGAACAACCATCATTGTGTACCATGGGTAACCTACATAATGTAGTCTGTACAGAATATATACTGTGGGTAAGCTATATAGAATATAAACCATGGGTAACCAACGATGATGAACAACTAGATGTACGGTAACTGGAATACATTTTATCTACAGAATCTTATAAATAGCTTTCTGAGCCATATAATCTAAGTCTAACATCTTTTCACATCCAATTTAATCTGAAATTTCTAAGCATTCACTTTATTCCCACTGATTTACATAGAGTTTGAGTTAAATAAATTCAGACAGATCTATCAATGTCTATACCTTTTAAAGACAAATCTATCTCTTTTTAGTGCCTCTTCCCTAGGATTACATCTAGATATATTTATAAACAATTTTGTCAATCTTTTAAATTGTTTGTCTAAAAACTTAGTAATAAAATGTCCTCTTTTATAAAATATCAAGAAGTCATAGTTTACAGAAATAAAATGTGAGTCTCTTCAACAATTTTCAAACATTTTATGGAAATATAAAAAAGTTAAAAAAAGGGGCATAACTGTGAATTAATAAAATTCAGGTTTTAACCTGCCCTTTTGAAAAGTGTTAACTTTTTGAAAGAGTACAAGAATGAAGTAAATTAAAAGAGAAATCTTTGACATTTTTAAGGAATGTGCCTAGACAATTTTAAAAAGAAAAGAAAGCATAACTTTACATAGATAAATTTCAGGTTTACTTTCCCATTTTGATATTTAACAAGTATTCAAAGTTTGAAGGGAATAATTATCTTTTAAGATTTTCAGAAATGGACCTGAATAAAAAGTTATAAAAATTAGAGTCACAGTACCTGTGCTCAACCAGCCCAGTGCTCAACCAATACTTCTAATTGTGTACGATTTATGCATTAAAGTGGAAAAACCCTGGGAGTTTGTGTGTGCTATTTGTATCTGACCTGTAACCTCTACACCATGTACAAGTACTCCAAGTTTGGTAGAAGATTGGCCATTTTGCAGACAATATTAAACAGTACAAAAATACAATTCTATAATAAAAGTAAAAACTATTTAAAACACTGAAATAATGATACTTTAGGGCAAATGTGGACAATACTTTGTTAAATTGCCTTTACTCTTATGCTCCCAATTGATTTCCATAGGAAAGGTGCCCAAAAATCATCAAAACCCTGCTTTCCATAAAAGGCAGGGGCTATGAACATGTAAACAAATATGGCAGCTGTACGGAAACAAATCGGGAACACACCACTAAAAGCGTAGACCATTTGTATATTACACCAAGTATCACACTCAACTATGTTTGCAGAGTGATTTTAGTAAAAAAAAATATGAGAATAAGTAATCTCAAACACCCCAGTATATGTAAATTCCAAAACTCTTATAAACACTTTATTTGTCAATGTATAGCATTTCCTTCGTATCATATTTGCTCTCATATTTACATCTATAGACACTAAAACATAAATGTTTCAAAATATTTTTGAAATAGAATTGTTGAACATAAAAAGTCATATCTGTTTTTAAAAAATAGAAGTTCTGATAGAGATAAAACCATCTGGTCAAGCACTGGTTTGGTTGCCTGAAAAATATAGTGGTTTTCCTATATACAACTCTGTGGTAAATTGTATCCTGATCTGTGTCGTTAAAACCGTTTAGCTTATTGTTAGTTTGAAAGGGCCAGCTTTGTAACAAAATAAGTTTCCCAGCAAACTTTTTGTTCTAAAAGAGTTTTTATGTGATTTTGTGAAAAACTAGTTGAGCACTGGTACAGTGACTCTATAACTTAAGAGCTGACATTAAAAAGTTGGACATGACAATACTTTAATATATTTTCTCAGAAAAGTGAAGTTGTAAGAACGTTTTTTTTATTTCACACTGCAATGTTTTCATTCACATGGCACAAGTTGATGAAGACAAATTTTAACAGATCTTATCACCATACTGTAGCCTAATTCCTGTTAAAACATATGTTAAAACAAAATGATACTTTAATCAACAACAAGACAAATTTCACAACTAATAAATCAAATTGTATCATTCACATCAAAAACCATTAGATATTAATTTTGGACATTTACAAAAGTTGCTACTTCAAATATATGACACAGCCATTCTGTAATAAGCTCAATAACATTTCTAGGATAATGTCTGATTTAATGTACTTTTATATGAAATGATATTGAATGTAAGATTCTTTGATCTTGTGTCATATGCTACTGTTCACTTAAATGACTTAAGTAGCCAAGTAACTTAGTTGGTAGAACTGCAGAATGGTGTTTGTAGGTCCCAGCTTAGAGTCAAAGTCTGGCTACATTAAGTTCTACCACTGACAAATTAACCCCAAGTAAGTACAAAAATCATAGATAAAAATGGTTTTTCCCATTTTTTTTAAAAAGTTGACACATCTTAAAGCTTAACTGAAGTTTAATTAAAGGTGTATAATACAGAACAATATAGATTGATTGCAGATATTGATGGATTGAATATCTGGCATGATCTCCATGCAAAATCTATTTGAAAAGCTGCTGCTTGTCAATATTTTTGTTAAAGTGACATTATGCCCATTTAAGGGTATAAAGTGAGTGAACTGGTGAAAGTCAAAATAAGTTTTCATTTTGCCATAATTCCTTTAAATTTAATAATTAAGTTCGAATAAACAATAAATAACTTGCAGATCCAAACAAAATTTCTGTAAATATCCATTTAAATTTACCTTATAATGCTTAGTTTATAAAAAGAGTGAGGCAGTCTTTTTTTAATTTTAGACAGATATATAATTTTATCCTAAACATTTTCAAGTATCAACTGTTAGTCAAACACCATTTTGACAGTCAATCTTTTGAAATATAAAGTTAATTCAGCTCAACTTGACCATGAAAATATGAGCATAACGTCACTGAAACCAAAGTCAAATTGATGCATATTAAGCATCTAACACATCTTGCCAGAAATTGTTTCTCTTAATTCTGTGAAATGTTCTTAAAATTCAACAATGAAGAACCCATGTCACTCACTACAATGCTCTTTCAATTGTAAATGTGTTATTTGCTTTGACTGACTTTCAAACAGACTGGACAAATTTAACCTTAAAATAGACGATATGATGCTTTTATAATGTTATGATGCAATAAAACATATGAAATCATCTAATTGGAAGGGGGGTGGGGAAGCAAGAATGAAATTTATATCATAGTTGAGGATACAATGTATGATGAGGTATAACATATTTGCCATTTTATTAATAAATTTGGTCTCGTTAAATTCTTAAATGATTACAAATATACTGTTTTCAGTAATCTCCTTACACTCAAAGTAAAACTTCCCAATATCAAGATGGCATAGCCAATACAATTTGAATGCTTTGGACTTCTAGGTGAAGGTTAATATTGTCACATCTCAGTGAGTTTCAGCAAATATATTTCTGTCTTTTCATGCAACAGAAGGATAATGCTCTGAAAGTTACATAATATGTACTTTTAGATAAATATATTATTACTGCATATATACATACCCCAGATATGATCTGTATATAGAAAGACCCATCTTTTACTGCTGTAACAGCCTGAAAACAGATATAAAATAGGAACCTGTAGGTTACAAAAAATAATATTAAACGTTCTATAAGTCTAGACAGTCTTCAACAAGAACAGTCTTATGATTGCTTTTATGTTTTATGAATCAGATCACAATGTGCAGCCATGTTATACGAAAGTTTGCATGTGGATAGCAGATTCACAATGCAGTAATGATAAAATGTCACAAAGCACACATTACTTCTCCTATCAAAGCGGTACTTTTAATCAAACTTTCTCATATAGTGTCTCAAAACACACATTAGTTTTGATAAAGCAAAACAATTGTTATTATGTTTGAAAATTTTGTATAATCTGGCTCGTATATAACAGAATGAAGAAACATTTCTACGAAAATTTTAGCTAAATTCAGCGTAAGAAATGACAAAATAACAGAATATGAGGTTAAAGGTCAGGACACTGTCATACAAAGGAACATAAATTTGTTCATGCCTTCCTAAACTCCAAAAGTCTGCAAACATAAATGGCCACTTAAGGATGTAATACAGACATGAAATTACATTATAAGATGTGATTATTACATTTAAGATCAGGAAAAGCAGAAGACTGCTGCTATAATAGTCCAATAAACTAAGCATTATATTCTAAAATTATTCTAGCTTCTGATATATTTTGCACAGCTCCTTGTTGAAGCCATAAATATTGCATTAATTTTGCAGTTTATGTTCTCACTTTTTTTTCCGTGTTGATGGTGACATCTGTATAAATAGTAAATGTCCCTAAAGTTCCAAGTTACTTAATGCCACTGAGTGCATTCATTTTTACTATCAAATTATGACCTTATAATTGAAAGAAGACAGAGATTCATCTGTCTACTTTAAAGTACTAGTATAATTATGTTAAATCACTGTGTTTTCAACCTTTGGTCACTTGACCCGTAAGGCAACTGTACCATTGTCCTTTAGTCACTGTATCTTTGACCTAAGGCAACTGTGCCATTGTCCTTTAGTCACTGTGTCTTTGACCTATGGCAACTGTACCATTGTCCTTTAGTCACTGTGTTTTTGACCTAAGGCAACTGTACCATTGTCCTTTAGTCACTGTGTTTTTGACCTAAGGCAACTGTACCATTGTCCTTTAGTCACTGTGTTTTTGACCTAAGGCAACTGTACCATTGTCCTTTAGTCACTGTGTTTTTGACCTAAGGCAACTGTACCATTGTCCTTTAGTCACTGTATCTTTGACCTAAGGCAACTGTACCATTGTCCTTTAGTCACTGTGTCTTTGACCTAAGGCAACTGTACCATTGTCCTTTAGTCACTGTGTTTTTGACCTAAGGCAACTGTACCATTGTCCTTTAGTCACTGTATCTTTGCCCTAAGGCAACTGTGCCATTATCCTTTAGTCACTGTGTCTTTGACCTAAGGCAACTGTACCATTGTCCTTTAGTCACTGTGTCTTTGCCCTAAGGCAACTGTACCATTGTCCTTTAGTCACATTGTCTTTGATGTAAGGCAACTGTACCATTGTCCTTTAGTCACTGTGTCTTTGACCTTAAGGCAACTGTACCATTGTCCTTTAGTCACTGTGTTTTTGACCTAAGGCAACTGTACCATTGTCCTTTAGTCACTGTATCTTTGACCTAAGGCAACTGTACCATTGTCCTTTAGTCACTGTGTCTTTGACCTAAGGCAACTGTACCATTGTCCTTTAGTCACTGTGTTTTTGACCTTAGGCAACTGTACCATTGTCCTTTAGTCACTATGTTTTTAACCTAAGGCAACTGTACCATTGTCCTTTAGTCACTGTGTCTTTGACCTTAGGCAACTGTACCATTGTCCTTTAGTCACTCTGTTTTTGACCTAAGGCAACTGTACATCATCTCATTATGGTGATTTCTTGTGCCAATTTATTTCATAAAAAATTCAGTAGCTTAAAAGTTATGACACGAAATGTAGACTTTTATTATGAAATGAAAAGCTTTTAACAATTGACCTTTAAGTGTGACATTGACCTTGGGGGTTGCCCCAATTATTGCGCTCTGCACATCCTCTCATTATGGTGATTACTTGAGCCAATTTATTTCAAAACATTTTCAGTGGTTTAAAAGTTATGGAGCGGACACAAAAGTGTTACGGACGGACGGAGGCCATTCCTTTAATCCCCTTTCTGCTATGCTGAAGGGGATTAAAAACTGAACTGTAATTAAATACATAAAACCATAAGTGTAATGACATTTTCTTCTATTATTTATTTCTATAAGCTATATGTTTATTCTTTTTCAAGAAGGCTATGTTCACTTCTTATGAATTTACTTCTTTGTATGAACAATATAAATAATTGATATAAATTATGCTTGAATAAAGAGCTTTAGCTTTGGATATGGTCACTTATGTGAACTTCATTGAAATCCCACCAGTAGCTTGACCTGTGAAAGCCGGACAAGATTTTACTATTTATAGCTCTATGGGCCATTTTGTGCAGTGAAGCGGAACAGGCCTGTATTCTGCACAACTACGGATGGTACCGATCACTCCTGTAATATTTGGTTGAAATCCCATCAGTAGTTTGACCTGTGAAGGCCGGACAAGATTTTTCTATTTATAGCTCTGAAGGTCATTTTGTGCAGCGAAGGTGAACGTGTCAGTATTCTGCACAACTAGGGATGGTACTGATAACTCCTGTAAAGTTTAAATCCCACCAGTAGTTTGACCTGTGACGGCCGGACAAGATTTTTCTATTTATAGCTCTGAAGGCAATTTTGTGCTGCAAAGCGGGACATGTCAGTATTCTGCACAACTACAGATGGAAATGATCACTCCTGTAAAGTTTGGTTGAAATCCCACCAGTAGTTTGACCTGTGAAAGCCGGACAAGATTTTTCTATTTTGAGCTCTGGCGGCCATTTTTTGCGTTAAAGCGGATTGTGCCTGTGATGTGCACAACAATGGATGGTACTGATCACTCCTGTAAAGTTTAGTTGATATCGCACTTGTAGTTTGACCTGTGAAGGCCAGACAAGATTTTTCTAATTTTAGCTCTGGCAGCCATTTTGTACAGCAAAGCGGAATGTGCCCATTATGTGCATAACTAAGGATGGTACTGATCACTCCTGTAAAGTTTGCTTGAAATCCCACCAGTAAATTGACATGTGAAGGCCGGACAAGATTTTTCTATCTATAGCTCTGACGGCAATTTTGTGCTGCGAAGCGGGACATGGCAGTATTTTGCACAACTTAGGATGGTACTGATCACTCCTGTAAAGTTTGGTGGATATCCCACAAGTAGTTTGACCTGTGAAGGCCAGACAAGATTTTTCTGATTCTAGCTCTGGCAGCCATTATGTACAGCAAAGCGGAACATGCCCATGATGTGCATAACTAAGGATGGTACTGATCACTCCTGTAAAGTTTGGTTGAAATCCCACCATTAGTTTGACTTGTGAAGGCTGGACAAGATTTTGCTATTTTTTGCTCTGGCGGCCATTTTGTGCTGCGAAGCGGAACGTGCCGATGATGTGCACAACTAGGGATTATACTGATCACTCCTGTAAAGTTTGGTTAAAACCTCACCAGCAGTTTGACCTGTGAAGGCCGAATAAGATTTTTCTATTTTTAGGTCTGGTGGCCATTTTGTGCTGCGAAGGGAAATGTGCAGGTGATGTGCACAACTAGGGAAGTTACTCATTACTCCTGTAAAGTTTGGTTGAAATCTCACCTATGGTTTGACCTGTGAAGGGCCGACAAGCTTAATGTGGATGATCAGACAGATGGACAACTGGACAGACGGACCGACAGACAGACGGCTAAGGCAAAACAAAATGTCTCCCAAAAGTTTAGGGAGACATAATAATTAAATTTAAGTACTGATTGAATAGGAAATATTGCAGACGATGATCTGTGCTGTCATGTGTATTTCCAGTTGTTGCCAGGAAACTGAAGGTGAAATGCATTATGTGGACTTCAAAAATAAAATGCACAATAATATGGCCCAATTAAAATAGTTTCAAATCATCTCTTTTCAATAGAAGTAGTAATTATAATGCTAAAATGTGCTAATTTAAACTGTGCATAACTCTTGCTCCAGCATAATTTCTCTATTGGATGCAACAGACACCAACTGTGCTCATAATTGGTATTTTGTATTCCTGCAAAATGTTCACAACAATTATCTCCCAGGTGTGTTTACAGAATGTATACAAACTATACAATTCACAATGATTATCCTCCTCTAAATCATCAAAGACATAAAAAATGATGGGAAAGCAACAAAAGAGAACAATATAAAAATCGTGACAGTAAGTAACAGCTTTCATCTGCCAAAGCTATCTACCTCCTGCAAGTAGGTAAAAAAATACTTCCAGTAACAAACTAAGGTTTTTGTTCTGTTGCTAATCTCAGTTTTATATCTACTTTAACAAGATCTGTAAAGTGCTTGGAAACACTTTAAGTGCCACTTAATTCAGTACTTAAACATGCAATGTTAGAAAGCTCAGGCTTCCTTATGGTCGAAATTAAATATTTATAGGAAAAGTAAACTGCCTGGAAAATTTAATTTGGCTTAAAATTTGCTATCCATCTACAATCAACTTTAATTCTGACACAAAACTTGTCTGTCTAAGTATATGTGTAAAGTTTATTTTCTTACAATATCTAAATTATATGCCGTTAAATTTGAAACAAAAACATATTTTAAATTTTGACAATTAATAATCATTAATCTAAAAATATTCATATTTCTTGGCATCAAATTTTTTGTATTTATTGACAGTATAACGGCTACTGAGGGAATTAAATCTGCCAAGAAAATCTCCTGTTTATTTCATCCTATTTCACTCAAATTAAACCTAAAATGGTGATGAAATATTGTAGGTTTTGAAAATTATCCCACACGTAAATGGTCTTGTCTATCTTTCAATCTGGACATAACCATTCAACAATATCAGGGAAACTTCCATACTGATTGAACAGCAAACATTGCACACCATGACCAGATGGCTTGAACCAGCTTATCTTAGTTTGCACTGGCTGCATGGGTAGAAGCTGTTGCAAACAGCAAGCTTAGGATAGACAAAACCTAAAACATTCACAGAAAATCAAAATATACCAGTTATGATGTAATGTAGACTCTGGATCAATTAGATTAAAATCA